CAAACATCTCTCAAATTTAAGAATGAGTTCTCCTCACTCAAAACCCAAATCTCTCTCAATAGGGAGTGAGTACTCCTCACTCAAACACTATTTTTTTACTTAAAGAGTGAGTACTCCTCACTCGTAGAAACACAAATTACTACAATTAACAACACAAAAATCCCAAACACCATTGCCTAGAATGGCACTAGTCAGAAACTAGTTCCAGCCTCGTTACCCATGCGTTTAAAAAGTTTTCAACCTGGCCCACTATTGGCCGGTTAACCGTCCACTTGTTTAGAAAATTCCGGGCCCAATAATTTACCCGAAATTTCTCCAAACTAGGAAAGCCTTTCTTTCCACCACAGACTCACGCACTGTTGGGCAACCAAACTTACTAGGAAATTAATTAATTAAATTTCTTATTTATATTCAGGGCAAAAATAACAACTAAATCCGGATAATGCGTTCTGGCATCAACTTGGGTAAATCTCCGACTACCCGATGAAATCATCGGAGAAATAACACTTTATAATGCCGAACTCCACACTACGTTCGTTGTGGCCATTCCACACGAATTTGCCGAAGTGTTATTACCGAATTCGACACACAAGTTTCACAAGCCGATACTGCTCTAGTGCAAGAGGAAACTGATATAATAATTCGTCATTTTGAGACCGCTGTAAAGGTCCTATATAAAATCCATATCATTTCCTGTCAAAACTTGGGAACTTTTCTTCCCTGTCAGGTTACCGACACAAGAATTAAATTCTGTGACCCCTTCCTGATCTGTTTTGCAATCAAATGACCCTCGGATTTTCTTAGTTAGGCCTTTCATTGTCTCACACAACAATACACCTTGAAAATCACCCGCCTCACACATTTCAAGCCAAGACCCAAAACCAATCAGCCAAAAATAAACCAAAAATTCAACAAAATGTTTATGTTACGGATATATTAATAACGCGCTTTGTCCAAATAAATAAAATAGACAAAATATAAACAACTTCACAATTTTGTACACTTAAATAAAATCAAAATCTCACAAATAAAAACTCAAATATTTTTCATAAATAAATTTTCCACAAAATAATATTCAAGAAAATTTTCCAGCTGTCAATTTTTAACCAATTAAAGAATTAACCAATACTTTTCAACCTTAATTTGACCCTTCGGCCCAAAATGCCGCGTCAAATTTCTCTTTGAAAAATATCAATCAATTTTCCCAAGAAGGAGAAAAGGTTCATTAACCGCTGAGAATCATGAAAAATGTCACATTTAGCGAACCAAAAATAGAAACTGTTTTCCACCCAAAGAAATGGAAAACATAAATTCCCAACAAATTTATCCGCTAAAATTTCCACTAAAATCCACAAATTATAAATGAATTTTACCACAAAAAATCTTTTACCAAAACTAAAAAATTTTTGTAAACCGTAAAATTCAAAATGGTCGTGACAGACGCTATCCAAAATTTTCTCGCGGCAAACTTTTCCCGCGCTCTGAAAATTAATGCGTCTATCTGTACAACCGCGTCCTTTTATTAAAACTCCAAAATTTATTTCAACAGAAAATTTAAAAGACGTTATCAAAAAGGACAAACAACACTAAAATATTCCAAATCACTCACAAAAAACAAACCACAAAATCAAAATTAAATATGGCCAGAAACAATAAATAAAATTATAGTTTCCACTAGACGCAAAAGTATTGACCTATCGATACTTCCCCGCGTCCCTGACCACGTCCTGTGATGAGTACACTCATTGCCCAAAGCGCAATTCCCAAAAAATTGTAATAAAGCCGTCTTAATATTTAAAATTTCGATGTTTCCTTTTAACCGATCAAACACGAATTTCCCAAGAAAAATAATACTGGCTGTAAATTTCTTCCAGAATGTTCACAACAAATAAACCCAAAATTCAATTCGAAAATTGAAATTATTATAGACGCGACATTTCTCCGCACGCCTTCTCTTTCGCGCCAATTCAAAAATGCCGGTATGACTTTGTGAACAAGCACATGTTTAACCCAAAAATTTTCTTTTTCGAATTTAACACTGAAAAAATTACACACAGCCAAACCTCAATATTTTTCATATGAGCCTAAAATTCCTGCGTCCGATCCCAACCAAGAAACCACAGCCAATTATTTAGGCCAAACTATCACCAATTTCACAAATTCAAAATCACATGGTGATGTGCCCAAAGAAAATCCTCATCGCCTCTGTCCCAAAGTCCAACGCTTAGCCTGCCCCACGTTGGGCGCCAAAATTATAACAGATCTTTTATTAGTAACAACTAACTTGTATCGACCGTTTAATGATACACAAAAAACCTTAAAATACCTGAGAGGAGATTCCGCTTCGGACTTATAAACCGACGGATACAAACGACAGCGAAACCAGAAACACGATGAAACTTGGACACAACAATTTACCAACGGCGACTCTTACAAACACAAATCCGACGACACAAACAATAAATAAATAAACTCATAAAAGAATTAAACACAAAAGAGTTCACTAAACAATTGGGAATTTATTAAATAATCAAATTCGAATGTAAAACTATACAAAAACTCAAGACGCGGAAAAACCCTGAAGTTTCCAAAAATGGAAACCCCGAATTAATCACGGCCTATTAATTAGATGGCCCACGAGCTACTGAAGAATGAATATCACGTTGACCGGCTTCTTCCTTCATTTTTCCGTCCTTTTCTAATTTTGATAAGGGCCCACATATGACCCTCTCACTCACTCGAATGGACAGCGACAACCTGTAAAGAAAACTCGGGAGGGACCGCAGAGATTCGGGACTTTTCGCAACCTCGCATGCGCAATTCATTTTCACAGAGATTTCCACAGAGAATATATCCCTTGACCAAATGAAATTTAGATAATCCCAATGATAGGAACCACACAAGATTTATGTAACGAAATGCTTCGTTACAAATTAAATAGTTTACTTTCTAAAACATGGACCATCTATATTTCTATATTTTATAGAGGTTCCGAGAAACCAGCAATTTTGATGTATGTAAGAACTTCATTTTTTGTACAAAAAATAGACGCGAGTAATGATAAAAAATCGTTTTACGAAATCACGATAAATGACGCCAAAGATATAGAGGTAAACACTGTCAGAACAAAAGCAGACGCGTGCGCATTATGGAAATAGGCAAAATTACTAAAATCCTAGTCAATTTGACTAGGATTTGCAGGGTTGTTTTTGCCAGGCTTGAATTTGTTGAATCAACCTAGCGATCCTAACCATAATGATTAGAAATCCTTATTACTTTTACTAGATTAAGATTAACTATAGGGTCATAGTTAATAATACCATCGAGATTTTTTTCGGTGTAATAATTAAAAAAATATTTTTCGTAATTAATTCTTGAAAATCCTTGTAAAAACAATAAAAACATGAAGTTCCAAAATAAATATTTGAATGCAATTTTTCAGGTGATTTTTGCTTATGGTTTATAGGTAATTATAAAGCGTTGTAAAGTAATCAATTGCTAATGAAAAATTTACTTTGGATGAACAAAAAAAAAATTTTTTTAATTGGATGCTCAAACTTATAAATATTATTAAATAATTGAGGTGACCCACAATCCCCCAATCTCCCCTATGTATTTTAGATGAATCTTTTAACGGACATAATTTCGGATTGTTGCGGAATAATTACGGACTTAATTCATAGACATTCAAGATTACTCCAGACTGATTTAGGATTCATAATTTCGCTCGGATTGATGTTAGATTAACGCGGATCATTTTCGGACATTTTTCGTACAATTATCGGACTAATCCACACTACTATGTCCGGATTTAATCCAATTAGTCCGACATTTTTTGCAGGGATATAATACGATTTAGCTGGCCGACTATTTTCAAATTCTTAGCATACATATTTCGAATTGTTTCGTATTTGTTTTGTAATAGGATTTTACCACACTAATTCCAAATTGAAGCGGACTAATGTCGGATTCTTGCAGACATTTTGCGGATTAAATCGTTTAACTGGATTAAATTCGGATTGTTGCGGACTGATTCGGAGTGTTTTCGGATTCAGGTTTTCGTTCGGATTGATATCAGACTAGCGCGGATCATTTTCGGACTAAACTGTCCATATTTAATCCGGAATTAGTCCGAAATTTTTACCAGGGATCTTTAAACAATTTATCTTCTTGTCGTTTTTTGGTTAGCCACTTTAATTCTTTGCTTCTGATAACTTCTCCATTTTTGCGCCATATACACAGTTCTATAAGCCGAAACCACTCTCCACGCGGATGCGGAATTTACTTGCACAAGTTGACATTGACATTCCATCGATTCTATATTTGAATTTAAAATCTAAATAGTATGCAGCTCATTTTCCGAAATTGGTGGATATAAATTAGGATATTCAAACAATCTGTTAATAGAGTGATCAATAAGAGGCTGAATATTAATATTTGCACCACCTGTAGGGTCTAGCAGATTTTTAATCAGATAGAAGCGAGAACTCGCACCGCCTGTTCCGAAAATCGCATTAGCGCTAATTGATTTATTGCATTCCATCCACTAAGTAATTCCACAATTTGTTATCTTTAATTAAATAATTGTTTTATTTTAATTTTAATACATTAGTGAGTAGATTTCTGATAATCGCCAATAGTAGAAATACAAATAGTATAATATAGCAAAAAGAATTACAATACTTTATTTTAAATCTAATTTCTCATCAGCAGCACATTTTTATTTACGTGAAAAAAAATTTGTATTTCTAAAAATAGTCTTGAGACGACTTAATTATTGTCAGGCTAAGAATAATACTGTTTTTGTTCCGATTGCTCATTAATTATCCGATTCTAATTAAATTTTCAAATCAATAATTCCAGGACGAATATATTAATAGGTGTTCCAATAATGTTTCCTTGATTGCTTTTCAATTTCCTATATTAACTTTGATCGAAAACCACATTCAAGCGAGCTTTTGTTTCGCGGGACAATAATAATGACAATACGGTTTTCACAGGCTTATAGGATACTTTGAACAATACGCAGAGTACGATCCATTTTTTACGCAACCAGAATTGACGAATCCGTGGATTTCGGACAGTTTAGAAATGTGGGAACAGGAAAAATTGGCGTAAGTCTAATTGGTTCTTATAATTATTTTTTTTGTAGTTGAAAATGGTTTTTTGCATAGTTTTTTCTTCTGTTTTTAGAGATCTTCCTGTGAGGAGAGTAAGAAGATGGGCATTTGGATTAAATGAACTTTTACGCGATCCCGTTGGACGAGAGCAATTTGAACGATTTTTGGATAAAGAATTCAGTGGCGAGAATCTCAAGTAATTAATTGATTTTGTTGATGAAAGAAATTATTTGGCTTTCATTTGAAATTTACTATTTTCGATAAATTGCAGATTTTGGGAGGCTGTTCAGGAATTAAAAACATTACCTCAGCGAGTAGTCGAAGCGAAAGTGGAGGAAATTTGGAACGAATATTTGGGTCCGGAAGCAAGTTGTCCAATTAATGTTGATTCTAAATCCTTTGAGGTGACGAAGAAGAATATCGAGAAGCCAGATCGTTGGTCGTTTGACGTTGCCGCAGTAAGTAGCAAAATAAATTTATTTTGTAAATTTTCATTTCTAGTTGCCAACGTGCTTCCGAATGATGATTAAAATTCGCGCAGTTCATTTCTTTCTTATTTTACGATAATTAATTCTGTGATGTGCGATCGTAATTTCGTAATTGTATATCTAATGTCTCCGGTTAACGCGAAAACCAACGCATGTCGAATGTTACTCGTTTAGTTTTTATAGTTTACCTCTCTTTAAACTTGTGCGTTTGAGAATTCAGGGTAATTACGTTCCTTAACGAAGCTTGTCCTTATGCTTTTATATTTTCCTTTACGATTTTGTTCCTGTTTTGTAAATTTTGTAAACATTTCGTTCTTACAAATATTGCATAATCTTAATGTGTAATTATACTTTTATTGCAACGAACCCAGATACGGCGCACTTTGACTGTGTAATTTCTATAAATAATAAACTTACACGAAATTTTTAACTTGAGGAATCTTTCATAAAAAATTTTGTTCATGATTCCTATAGTTAATTATTTTGTCTAAGATCGAGAACAATTAACTAAAAAAAGATTTTTAATTTCAGGCCCACGTCTATCATTTAATGAAAAGTGATTCCTATTCAAGATATTTACGATCGGAAATGTATAAGGACTATATTAACGGATCGAAAAAGAAGGTAAGAAAATCCATAAAGTTCTTTTACGTTCGAAAAGAAATACTCTTTTTATTTTACGAGAGAAGTAAAAAATCTGCGTAACCCATAGGTGCTTAGTTTCAAGGCAGATATCTGGAGTCTGTACTTTTAGTTTATGTGGGGATGGCTTTCTTGGAAATTTTTATTCTATTATCAATTTAGCATTTTTAGACGAAGAGTGTATTTCGCATTATTTACTGGAGTATTTATACTCTGCTTCTTTTCTAAGTCTTTTTATAGTGAAAAAATGTAAAATTGATAGTTACGAAAGGAACAAATTCGTAGAGATTAGTTTGTGACCTTAGTAGTAGCTTGTCGCTACTAAATGAAATCTGAGTCAGTTTGGGTTGGACGACCCAATTGAATGTGATATAAAGTCAACCTTCACTTTCATTACGCCTATAGGTTTTGCTGTACTAATGATACCGCAATTAATGTCTTATGCACAAGTTAGACTCCTTGGTCCGTGTTTCAAGACGGACCCTAGAAGTACGTACCCAAAGCAATAACTTCGTCAACCGGGACAACAGGCCATTAATCAAAAGCAAACCAAAATCGTTCATTTCAACATTTTCTTAACTGAAAACAAAACAAATCTTTTGTGTTGGTTGTAGAGAAAAATATAGGTTCGGGGACGGCACTAGGTCCAAACAACCGAGAAACACTATTCTGAGTTGTCTGACTATTTTGTGCTGATTTTAGTTTAATAGACCATATGGTCCGTGAGCAGACAAATTACGGTTCTAACTCTGATTTTATCGAGTTTTATTCGCTTGCCCTAGGAACATAGTCTTTTTAGTCAGGGTTCAATAATTTCAAAATATCTCGATCCATTTAGTATATAAATTATGAAAAACTAGATCATATAGACATGACCTTCTTAACTAGATCTAGAACACATACTGCCTGAACCAAAAAAAAGTTTGACAAAAATAAATCTAAAGTCTGGTTGTTGGGAATGTTTCTGCAACATATCAAAAGTAAAAATCCGTTGAGATCAAAATCCTAGCTGATCCTTTTTTCGAGTTATTATTTCCATGCAAATGTTTACAAAACAATCAAATTAAAACTTTGTAACTACATGAAGGCAATCCAATCACGCAAAAGGTATCTTAAATATTTTTTTATATACAAATATATGTAATTTCATTTAAAATAAGACCTGAATAAAGAAAATTGATGAATATTTATCAAAATTTCGGGGTTTTTCAATATAAAGTTTAGTCAAAAGTTGGTTTTGAACTTTTTTGATATTTCAGGTAATATTTCCGTAAACTTTATATTTTTTTAAGTGTATTAGTTATATTTTAATATTTGCACAAAATTTTATTTATTTGATTGAACAAATACAAACAAAACCGCTGCCAAGTTGTACATTTTTATAATTTTGGTGTTCATTTCATGAACACTTTGCTTCCTCATAGAAATAGTAATAATTGAAATATAAGAATTACTTTTTATAAAAGGGTTAAAAATCATTAAATCTTGGTCTAAAAAATGTGTTTTTATATATTCTATAAGATGGTAATAATAGTTTAATAATTACACATAAATTAATAAACAAGAATTTTGAAAAAATGATATTTTCCACAATTTTTGATTTTTCAAATACCAATAATTTCATAATTTCTGCCCGAATCAGGTTCAAAAATAGGTCAATCGAAGCATTTTTTAATACTCTTCAAGTTGGTAATAATTTTTTGAAGTTACTTTTACATAATTTAAAAAAATTTTTATAAAAGTCTTATTTTTCAAAATTTTAGATTTTTAAAAGTTTAATATCTCCGGTTAATATGGACGAAAAATGTTCAATTGGGGCTCAAAAGATGCGTGTGAAAAAACTCTACAAAACTAAAGAAAAAGATTTATAAGTGTCCTAACATTTTTTTAAGTTAAGTCCAAAAAACGTTTTTTTACTAAATGAAAAATGCAAAAAAAAAATAGTTAAACTTTATGAATCGGGCTGAAAATACTCTCATTTTATGTCCCCCGGGGAGACCTACAATTTAAAAAACAATTGAGGCCTTTAGCTCTTTCTCGTTCTGAGATATTGAGGCAAATGTAATGTTAGCACACACACACACACACACACATCGGGACAAATTTTTAAAATCCGTTTTTTGGACATCAGAGGTCAAAATACGTCGAAATTTTTTTTTATTTATTTAGAACATTTATACGGGCAGTGCCCATTCGTACATAAAGTGCTAAAAGATTAGGTATAATGAAAAAAAATTTATAAATATGTCAAAAAATGACAATCCAAAATTTTGCTAATACAAAGCTTCCTTTATGAGGAAGCAATAAGATTTTTTTTTATTAAAACTGGTAAAGAATAACATTCATATCATAACATATTACGTATAAAAAAAATTTGAATAATTTTCAAACTGAGAAATAGATTTTTTATCCCACATGCACAAAAACGGCGCTTTCTGATAGCAGTCGACAGGGAGGAAAGTCATTCATTTCTTCGATCGTATGAAAATGGCGGCCGTGTTCTCCCAAGGGCAAGAAAATTAGCTGTTCACATGCATTTTTCTTGCCCAAGGGAGAAGACGGCCGCCATTTTCATACAAATCGAACAAGTGAATGACTTTTACTCCCTGTCGTCTGCTAACTGAAATCGCCGTTTTTGTGCATTAGGAATAAAAAATATCGTAAGTAACACGAGAATAAAGGCAGCCAATTTCTTTACGATAATTTTTGTGACACTCGTTCCGGTCTCGGGGCGCCTACGGCGCCCTCGACCTCCACTCGTGTCACAAAAATCACCGTAAAGAAATGGCTGCCTTTCTCCTCTTGTTGCTTAATATACTATAAAACTTTGAACTCGCTTTGAAACGAAACAATATTTATAAAGCTGTTTCGAAGAAGCATAATATAATACAACTCACTTGAAAATGATAAGTTAAAAATTCGACAACTGCTCGTATAAATTCGAAACAATATTTTTCACCTTTGAATTAATTTCATAGTGTTCTGAAGTTTTAAAAATTCACAATGGACCAAGTCACTACATGTTCAAACGAAAACCACATTTAATATTATTTTATTATTATAGGGTAAATGCACTAGTAGTCGGACACTTAAGGATACATTCTTATATTATGCATTTTTTCTTGAAATAACAAATAGTTATTGCTTTTTTAAGCACATTATCAATTAGAGGAGTTTTTCAATTGAATTAAAACTTATTAGAAGTTAATAATATAATACCTAAATTCTATAAGTTTTAATATTTATGATTAATTATCACCAAAACTTTGTACTACTCATCGCGCTACTCGATAATGATTGTATCTATAACCGGACACTATGATTTTTAAAACAAAAGATACAAATTTTTTTGGTTCAATATAATGTACAATAATAACACTATACCTATTTTTATAAAATATAAACTTCACACATTCGTCCAGTATATTCTTTAAAGTAATTATCACAATGCATTTTAATTTATTTGATAAAAAACACAAAAGTATCCGACTACCGTTACTATAAAGCCATTAGTAATTCTTATGTAAGATCCTGCAAATAATAAAGCAGCAACACACTTTTCATATAACAAATCGAGTTTAAATAATATGAAATTGTATTAAAATAAAACAACAAGGTTATTTTTATCAACCACAATAAATTGCTATGAGCGTGGTATACAAAGAACCCCAAAATTTTGATAAATATTAACCAATTTTCTTTATTGAGGTCTTATTTTAAATGTAATTACATATATTTACATACAAAAATATTTAAGATACTTTTTGCGTGATTAGTTTGCCTACATGTAGTTACAAAGTTTTCATTTGTTTTGTAAAAATTTGCATGTAAATATATTGATATCTCGAAAAAAGGATCAGCTAGGATTTTGATCTCAACGGATTTTCACTTTTGATATGATGCAGAAATATTCCCAACAACCAGATTTTGGATCCATTTTTGTCAAACTTTTTTTTGGTTCAGGTACAGTGTGAGAACTGGAACTTCTTAAACTAAATGATTCCATAATATCTGATCCTCTTAGTGTATCTAATCTAATCAACCGAATTCGAACTGGATTCTCAATACGGAAAGTAGGCACTTAGGTTAATACCCATTGTAACAAACTCCAGTTCGATTGTTTAAATGCAACTTATTCAGAGTCCTGTTCTCCCCCAAAAGTCCAGTATCTCTTTTATCGATAAGTAGCCTACCTGCTTAGGGTCAATTATTGCTTGGGACATAGGTGAAACTTGTCTACCAAGACGTCAACTCTTTCATTTCTCTTAATCCTCGAGTGACCCGGTACCCAGATCAATGAAAGTTTATTTACTGCAGCCAACTCATCTATTAGCTACGGCTAATAGAGGAGTTTCGATTCTGTTGTGGGATTTTTCAGAGACATGACCACTTTAACTAGGTCTGGAACTAGAACCTCTTAAACTAAATAATTCCATAATATCTCGATCCACTTGATACTTCTTCAGCTAAGATTATAGAGTCCATAATATCTGTAGTTACTACAGATTTGGTTATTTGATTAGGTAATAGATTTCAGTATTAGCGAATTAGGTATCAGAAAGATTTCCCTTACGTTCGGTATCTCTAATGTCATGATGCTAGCACAAGTTCAAGTTTGGTCCAACGTCCAATGTCCATAGTACTTTAGCTACCGATATCGGTCATACGATTTGAATCTTCAAAACTTTGAAAGTTCTGTAGCTTTTCCAAACGCCAAATGAGTTGTTTGTGCATAAGGATTTCGTAATGTCTTGCAGTTAACTGTGCAGTTTAATATAACAATGTGTCACTTTGGAAAGCAACGTCTCCTAAAGATAGTCTCCTAAAGTGCCAAGAAAGACTTTAACAACAGCCATTATTCGGAGTTCTATAATCTTTAGCACTTTCCTTGGAGATAAAAAATTGTGTACTTGTTTCTTTATTCGAAAACTTATTCTCTAAAACTGTTAGATTGTTAAATTAAAAATACAACCTGATTCTTCACGTCTAAACTTGTATCGGTTCCTCTGTTGGTTCGTCTGTTCGCAGCTATTCCTCTGATCATTAAGATTTCCAACCTCTTTATAAATCTCTCTCCTTCCCAGCTTACAGTGATCTGGGTATCGGGTCATCCTCGTCGAAAAAAATATTCTTTTGAAGAAAGGATTTCTCGGTATGAAATTTCTCAAAAAGGCCAATTAACTTCAAAAGAAATAGACGTACATTCGGACATATCTAGTTAACTGCAGCACTTTTAGCTTATCGCTTCCATTTTCTGGATTGACCGGAAGAAATTTTACCTCTCCCGTTCCTTTATTTAAAATTATTGTTTTCCATTATTGAGCCGTTCAGTCATAAATGTCTTTCCTTCCCATTTTCTTTTTGCAGACGTCAGTGAAAGGAATTCGATCTATTGTCTCGTTTACCGGCCGGAAGGATACGACGACATCTTAATCGATATTTTCGCCTTCTAATGGGATATCTATAAATATATATTTGTCTTTAGAGACGAAAGATAGCAGAATTGCAATCAAATCATTTTCCCGTTCGTTCGTTAACGTTCAATATGGGGTGAAAATGAGAGCAAACATTGGCAGTGAAACACAGTTCGATCCCATTTAAACTCTCTTTCTCTCACTCTTTCTCTCGCAAAGAAAAGAATAAAGCAAGAAATAAAAAATTCAACGGTCACATAATTCTTCGCTTTTTCATGCTGCCAAAGATTTAAAAATAAAAATCGGATGACGACAAAAATGATTTTGTCGATTTTTTCTAAACACAAATAAACGAAAAAAAAGATGTATGAGAATTTAGCTTTGTTTTCTACGCGTAGAATTTAAAATTTTGCGGCAACAGCTGCAGGAATTGATGTCATATAAAATAGTTGTCTAATGAAAGAAAAATTCTGATGCACATTGTATAGAATGTACTGGAACTGCATTCACGACTGGGATCTGTAAAATTCTAGACGAGAAATTAAAAACTTTTTAGCGAGAGAAGTAAAAAATAGAAAATCTCGACAAACTGTAGAATCAAGGACGTTATTAAATGGTACTTGAGAAAAATAGAAACATATACTGTCAAAAGTCAACTGTATTTTTGAAAGCAGTTCACTTTGTATGTAACACCGAAGAAACATAAATATAAGTGACGTGATAATGAGAGAACTGCGCGTGAAATATTAGTTCTGAAAATATTAAAGAGTCCAAACGGAGGAAGAAGAAAAGAAGCGAGTGAGGCTGAAAATGAGGTTTTTATTAGATAAAGAATAAATTTGAGCAAGTTGATAAAGGTTTAAACCTTTTTTTTTAAATCGATGAAGCTTGAATAATCTGGAAAAATGTTTGAAGGAGCTTTAAAAGACTCAAAACATTCTGAAAGACAGCCTAAGGAAGCTAAAGCAGCTTAAGGGACCAATGACATTTTAGTCCATCGAAATTTACCTCGTTTAAATCAAAAATATTTAATTTTGCATGTCTCTGTTAATTATATTCAATTAAAACTTTTAGACATAAGATTCTGTGGTCCAATTTTTTTCAAATTTTTTACAATAACCTCGTAAACAATATTTAATATGTAAATTTCGTGTCTGAAATATCATTGATCCCTCCGAAAAATTAACAAGCTTTCGCTAATTCAAAACAAGCTTCAAGTTTTTTTCAGAGAATAAATTATTATTTTCGAAAAGAACTCTGCTTTAATGCCGGGAGAAATAAAATGCCTCTGAAATCAAAAAAACGATAATCAAAATGATAATTTATGAAATTCGACGATATTTTTGTATTTAAAAAAAATTGTATAAATTCGAAACGATAACATGAGTTGAAATTATTCTATTTTCTTTTAATTATTTATACACACACAAAAAATATAGGGATTCACTTCATAAGTATATACAATAATCGTTCAATCACATATGCGCTTATTACATCTTTGTCCACAATAATTATATAATGATAATATTAATAATTTCTTTCATAAGAAAAATAAGCGGATGATTGTGGGATTTTTTCCCCTATGGTCGTAATCCGTTTCTCTTGTCTTTTCGTATTCACAGAGGAAATAAAATAAAATCCGAGGACTCGATATCAAGTGGTTGTGGAAAACGACCTTTAAATATTAAAAAAAAGATACTTAAATAGCCGGCTAAGGTCTCGTGTTTAGATAAATAAGTTTTTTTTTGTTTTGAAAGGCACTTTAATTTATTAAAATCAGAAAATAGTTATTTTAAAACGATTATATTTATTTTTATTTACTAATTTTTTACTCACTATTTTTATTAACCCTTAAAGCGCACTCTGGGTGCTCGACACCCATACACAACTTTTCCACTATTAGCACTATTATACTATCTTTTCATGAAAGTGTTACATCTCAAGGGTATAAAGTTAAATTTTTATCGAAAAGTGTTAAAAATTATGGTAGTTATGATTTTTTAGGTTGAAAAAGACTTTTTTTGTTATCTTTTCAAATTTCGAATTTTTTTAATTATTAAGAGTAAATAAATGACCATGAAACCTATGTTTCTTCAAAATAGATGCACTGAGCTACCTATGATAATTTTTCTGAAAGATAATATCAAAATCCAATTTGCAGTAAACGCGTTAAAACCCTGGGTGTAAAACAACCAGGCGGCTTAATAATGGTTCAGGAAGTGTGCGCTTTAAGGGTTATAATTTAAAACTTTTTTATTTTCCTGTGTGTCACTCGTAATTGAATGAAACTTGTACATTTAAAAATCATCACAAAAGATACAAAAGATAGAAATTTTCCAAAAGAATTCAATTATTTAAAAAAAATTTAATAAAATTCTACACAAACTTTAAATTATTTTCGAAAAATAATATAAATTTCACAGGAATTTCATTATTTTAAAATTTTTTTATAAATTTCTTCGCAATCATTGAATTATTTTCATAAATAATAAAATTTTTACGGGGATTCTATTATTTTTATAATTAATATAATAAAATTCTTTTTAGGAATTCAATTATTATTATAAAATTTATTTATAAATAATAGAATTAATTGCAGAATTTTAATTATTTTTAATACAATTTTAATCGAATTCCTCAAAAAATTTCTTAAAAATTTTATTAAAATTCGTCCAAAGAATTCATTTATTAAAAAATTTATAGATAAAATTCTTTATGAGAATTGAATTTTAATAAACATGCAATTATTCAATAAATTGTTATTTTTTTATTTAAATAATTGAATTCTAGTAGAATTTTTTCATAAACATTGATTTAAAAACGGTTTCAGTTAAAATTTTAGATTATAATTGAATATTAAAAGCATTAGATCGTAAATTTTTAGAAATAATTGAATTTTGAAAAGGTTTCAGATTAAAATCTTTGAAAATTTGGATTTTTCATATTTTTAACTAACAATATTCTGTGAAATTAACTTTTTTTGAGAAGCTTTAATTGCGGATTTTTTTGAATTTTTTGAAAGTTTTTATTTTCTAATATGTGACTGTCCACGAGAAAACAAGGCTTAGCTCCCAAACGTGAATTTCACAGGGCGAGCGATTGAAGTACTACGATTGAAGTTAACTACGCTTGACATACCCATCTTTAAAACGATATATTGTCGAAAGTAATTGATATTTTTAACTTCTGACTTTTGCATTTGAAAAAGCAACATAAAATCTGTCGATTACCATAAAAAACTCAAATTGATTTTTTCGACCTAAGCCGTGTTTTATCGTGGAGAGTCATCGATTGAGGTTAACTACGCTTAACATCCCCATCTTTAAAACGATATATTGTCGAAAGTAATTGATATTTTTAACTTTTGACTTTTGCATTTGAAAAAGCAACATAAAATCTGTCGATTACCATAAAAAAATCAAAATTGATTTTTTGGACCTAAGCCTTGTTTTCTCGTGGACAGTCACATATAATATTTAATTTAAGAATTTACAAATAATTGAAATTTTGTGAAATTGAATTGTAAAGAAATTAATTTAAAAATTCTTAAAAACTTTTTAAAAAATTATTAAAAATAATGAATTTATAGAAGATGTTTAGTTAAAAACACAAAAAAAATTCAATTTTGTAAAAGTTACAAATTATTGCAGAAATTCAATTATTTTCAAGAGTAATAATATTCTTTTCAAAAATTAAATATTGTTCAAAATTAATGAAATTCTTCTTAGGGATTCAATTATTTTCACAAACAATAAAACTCATCGCAGAATTTCAATTATTTTTAATACAATTTTAATCAAATTTCTCGAAAAATGGAATTATTCTTAAAAATTTTATTAAAATTCGTTAATAGAATTCAATTATTTAAATTTGAATTTTTTTAAAAAAGTTTAAATGAATTTTTGAAGTTTTTATTTTTTAATATTTATTTAATTGAAGAATTTACGAATAATTGAAATTTCGTAAAATTGAATATTATAAACAAATGGATTTCTTTGAAAATGGTCAAAGAATTTTTTCGAAAATTATTAAAAACAATCGATTTAAAGAAGAATTGTAGTTAAAAATTCTTGTAAATAATAATTAAATTGTAAATGATTTTATCACTCGGTCATTTTTAATTAAATGTCCGTATTTTTAAATACTTTCACTGGTTCGAGCACTAGCTGATTCATAATTCGAAGTCAGTTTTTCGAAATTTACAATGGCGGACTAAAATTTAATCAATCATTTTTCAAGCAAATTTTATTAAATTCTCGTTTTTTAAAAATTTTGTTTCCTGTAAATTAGGGACCGTTCAAAAAATACGTAACGCTATTTTTCTGAAATTTGGACCCCTTCCCCTCCCCCATGTAACGCAATATTGTATACATTAGCGCCATTTTTTCTGCTGACCGTAATAAATAGCCTGACCCCCCCTCCCCCCAAAAAGCGTTACGTATTTTTTGAACGGCTCCTTATGGCAGGGTCAGAATTCGTGAAATTTTCACAGAAAATAAAAAGTATTTTTTTTTAATCGAAATGTTGAAAAAACATTTCTATTTGGCCTTAAGAATGCGTCCACCATAAAACAGACAAAAAAATTATTTTTTATAAAAGTTATTGCAAAATTAATTTTTTTGCAACTTTTTAAACAAAATGTTATTTCTCCTAAATGAATAAACCGATTTAAATGAACCAAGCGGGAATATAAAGGGGATAAAATATACTTTCGTTTAGAATTAGAAAATTTTTAAAAAGTTTATTTTTTAATAATTATTTAATAAATTTTTTATAAACAATTAATTTTTTTTAATGTTCTACGCCTTTTAAAAATTTGAAAAAAATATTAACATACACTTAAAACTATAAGAAATCAAAATCCGTTGAGAAAATTTTGGAGCGACAATTATTTTAAAAGTTATAATGAAAATTATATTAGCGCGGTGTAGTGCATCAACGCTGAACTTAGTTTTTGATCATTTTTATCAATTTTTATGGTTATATAATTGAATAAAAATGTTAATTTGACAGTGTTTTGTTCATTTCGTAGTTAAAAATAATGTTTTAATTCTGAAAATCATCAAAATCGCATCTCCGTTGAATATAATTTTCATTATAACTTTTAAAATAATTGTCGCTCCAAAATTTTCTCAACGGATTCTGATTTCTTAAGGTACACTCTCACCTCTACTGCCTGCCTGCCTGCCTGCGCAGGCAGGCGCAATGAGAGTGAGAGAGAAAAACATTTAATTTGAATTTTCTGACTCTCTTACTCTTATGTGTTACCATGACAACCTGCAGGCAGGCAGGCAGTAGGAGCTGTGCTAGCGCCTTTATAGTTTTAAGTGTATGTTAATATTTTTTTCAAATTTTTAAAAGGCCCAGAACATTAAAAAAAATTAATTGTTTATAAAAAATTTATTAAATAATTATTAAAAAATAAACTTTTTAAAAATTTTCTAATTCTAAATGAAAGTATATATTTTATCCCCTTTATATTCCTTCTTGGTTCATTTAAATCGGTTCATTCATTTAGGAGAAATAAAATTTAGTTTAAAAAGTTGCAAAAAAAATTAAATTTGTAATAACTTTTATAAAAAATAATTTTTTTTTCTGTTTTTTGGTGGACACATTCTTAAGGCCAAATAGAAATGTTTTTTCAACATTTCGATTTAAAAAAAATACTTTTTATTTTCTGTGAAAATTTCACGAATTCTGACCCGGCAAAAAGTTTATTATGACAAAAAGAATTTTTTATGATGACCTTTAAATATGCCAAGTGTCATTCAATTCCGAGTGACACACAGGAAAATGTTTCCTTGTGAGCTACCAATGCTCATTTTGCTGAAAGATAATATACAAATCTAATTGGTAAGAAAAGGCTTTAAACCCCTGGGTGTCAGACACCCAGGCTCTATAATGGTTAATATAAAACTTTTTTATCACTACAACACTTTTTTATATGCACTCAATATTTGATGGTGCTGTCCGTGCTGTCTGTCTGAGTGAACGAACGAAAATGAAGTAATAGTTTCGAAATTTAACGTATTTTAAAAAAAAAACTCGTAATTTTTTCTTCAAAATAGTTAAAGAACACACTTTAAAACCCTGGGTGTCAAACACCCAGGCGGTTTAGGAAGTGTGCGCTTTATAAGGTTTAATATAAAACTTTTTTATTACTAAAATTTTTTTTAATGTACATAAACTCGATAAAATTTATTAAATAATTTCTTGAAATAGAAAAAGAGGAGAGACTCTTGGTCGGCATTTGAAAACGGGTAGTAGATAATATATATAGTTAAGTTAGAAAATTTCTGAGTGGCATTGTTCAGTGCATATTATAAATGCGCGCGTCATATCTGAACAAATCTACTCTGCACGAGTAAAACTTTCCAAAAACAAATTCATATTAGATAGTCTCTTCAAGGAACAAGCTTTGAACAACGTATACATATATACACATATATAATAAATATAGTAAAATTCGTCATTGTAAGATTTAAAAAAAACCAAAAGTTTAAAAAAGAAAACACTAATGACATCATCGATAAAATATACTTGATACCAAAATCTTCATTGAACTTAATACATATATGTATTAAGTTCAATGAAAAAAAATGAAATTTTTTGAAAAGTCACAAAAAAGCGAAAATTCCCATAAGACCTAAAAAATAAATACAGTGTGTGTGTATTAAGAATATCGAAAAGTCGTTGAACAGTGCCTGTAAATAATGAAAGAAGAGAAAAATCAATTTCGATTTGTGCCATCACGAATAAATGTGGAGAAAAAAAATATAAACGTATAATTGTCCCTTATAGCAGAAATTAAATCTTACATCGATCGTTTTTGCTAAAAAGTGTATTTACAATATTATGAAGGAAGTGAAATTTTTCCTTTTTTCGTTAGATATTTTTTTACTGTCGTAAATCGTATTTTTTTGTCATTGTTTTTTCTTTTTGGTCCTAGAGACCAAAAAGATCTTTTTTGCCTCGTGGGATCAGTGGATTTCTAGGTCTTGAGAAATGAAATTTTATTTTAATCTCAAGGGAGTAAAAGAGTTGCCTCCGATCCTGGAAAATAAAATTTTATTTAAATCCCAAGGGATCAGAAATGCTGTTTTCAGTCCTAGAACCACAAGAGACCCCCAGGGAAATAAAATCATTTTAATCCATACTTTTTGTTAATAAAAATTATCAATTTTATCCGCGAATTATAAAATCGATTGATAAAAAAGCTTTTTTAAAAAACGAAATTAAAAAAATGAACTGTAAATAATAGTCGAAAAATTGAAAAAAAAAATTTCGACGATAGAATTGTGAAAATTTGTAAGATATTTTCAAATAGAATAATTTCTCTTTAAACAATTCTCGAATTGCTTTTAAGACAAGAGGACATTGTAGAAATATATTGTGAAATGCAAGATGTACTTGTAACCTACGGAAACGAACTCAAAC